ACCCCTGGTGTAAAGCCAGTGTACAGAGGTTATAGAATATAATTTTCTTGAAACTGTGGACATAGAGAAACTGACAAAAAGGAGTGCCTTGGGGAACGGAGGGGAGAAGAACACAGAATGCTTGAGGAAGTGGGGAGAATGCAAGGCAGAACTCCCTTCTTTGGTCCTCACAACAGCAGCAGCAGGAATCAGTAGTGTCAGCGGTTTCTCAAGATTTGAGAGTTGGGTGGCCATATAAAGATTTTAAATAAATAAATACAATTACTAAGAGTCAACTGGAAGATGGAAGGGAGGCGCATTGTGGGGGGGGTATGGGAAATAGCCCTTTGTCTAGAATAATATTTATATGTTCCAGGTGCCCAACATGTGATCATGTGATCACAAGGGAGGTGGTGGCGAGGCCACTGTAACTTTGAAAAAAGGTCATACCTAGCTTTTGGAGTGTGTGTTGGTTACACCAATGCAGTGAGTAGTAGTTCTGCATATTCTTACCTTTGCTTTGCCAGTGCTCTGAAGAATGTGCACCAAAGCACAGGCCATCTCCTCTTTGTTTTTGACACTTATAACTGGTTCCAAAACAGAGCATAATTCAGTATAATTGTTGGTTACAAATTCAGCAAACTCTTTATATTTTTCCATAGGAAGGACAATGATGGTCTGGTACCGTGACTTGATCCGGATGGATGGCACACCCGACTTCCCCTTATTGACTGTGGGAGTGCTGATGGTGTACCACTTTTCCACAAACTGTCGACTGGTTACAGTAGCAATGGGAATGCTGACCAGACCAATATAATTATTCTTATAGTTTTTCTTTTTCTTTTCAGTGTCCTTGTAGATGTGGACTGTAATGTGATAGGTGGGCGGAAGGCCAGAGAACTCAAACTGTTCACCCCAAAAAATATTGTCAGCTTTTGATTTACTGGTAGTTCGGGCGACTAATATTTCATCCAAGCATATTTCACAAAAATACTTCTTCTTGGGGGCCAAACCTTTGGCTTCAATGATCCAAAGACGTAACATGTTCTCATCTCGACGGCAATTATCCTGGAGACAAAAACACTTGACTTACTTATCACAAAGAATGGTTATTCTATGTGGTTCTTATCTTTCATAGCTGTGGTTATATTTTTAAATCTTGATTTTCTATTATCATCTTTTTAAGATGGTTTATGAGATAATAAATACATTTCTGAATCCACCTTAAGTAAATTTCAACACAAGTCACTGCATGTCTGATCATGAATAGATTCCTAGCTTCTTGAAAAAGGCATAGCTGAATCCAAGAGAGCAGGACAGTCAACTGAATGATTAAAACAACACTAAACCAGGAGCACACATATGCAATGAGCCTTCTTCTCAAGATGGAACACAATCCCATACTCAGAAGTATAGACCCCCAGTCTTAATATCATCAGCATCTATGGCTTAGCTGGATTAAGTTTATTTTTTCAGGCAGCAATTACTCATAAAGGATTATGCTGCTACTGATAAAGAAGAAAAAGAAATAATGTAACTGAGAATTTAGAATGTTATCTTGGAATCTTGTTGAGATATTGGGAAGCCATTACCCCTTCTTGGCAACTGGATGCCTCTTCCAGCACCATGTATATTAGGAGGGTAATCTTCCAGGTTTTTTTTAAAAACTGAAATCTCCTAATGGTCAGAAATGACAGGATGGTAATCAAAATCATCTGGAAAGTTAATGGTTGTTTGACAAATACTTCAGACAAAATAGAAACATCTTGGGTGAGACAAATCAGTATAAAGTAGTACTCTTCCCCCAACCCCCTCAATTTCTGAGGAAACAAGTTCTGAAGTATATTATAACAATTCACATTAGCAAATACTAGAAAATTCCAGAGAGTTAAACAAGGTCACCGCTCCTCTGTGTCTCTCCTATTATACTGTAAATCATGTACAAGAGTAATGAAAGTAGAGTGCTCCCAAGTCCACTTGGAAGAAAGTAAATGGTTCTGTTTGGCATTAATATATTACACATTGAAGTTGGCAATGATGGCCAGAAATTAGAAACAGTTTTATAATGTGATAGATTCTAAATTTGCACTGATACACACCCACACACCAGTATTCAGCACTGATTCCACTTCTCAATCATTTCCCCAAAGTATTTGGAGCAATAAAATCAGTGATTAACAATGTGACGTATTTACAGGTTAAAGATGTAATCTTTCATATGTTTTGATCAACGTAGTCTAAATGGAGTTTACTAAGCAGTTTTGTTTCTGAGGCAGCTAATTTGATGCCACAAATTTACCTAGAAGGCTATACTTGTTTGGGAAAGCAACTTGATATCCCCAGCTATTAATCAGCATGCATTTTCAAATAGACGCTTTTCTGTGGTTGCATTTTACACTATACCTTGTTAGGTTGGAGAGACCTCCGTATGTTCTCCATCCAGATGTCTCTTTCAGCAGCAGAAGTACAACTGAAGCATTTACTACAAGTAGAACAAGATATCTAGAACATAGTACAGAAAGTCAAGTTAAGCTTACAGCCAAGATTGTAACTGCATGAAAGGAAACAGCAGAGATACCTTAATACTTAATAATGCAGTAGCTTAACGAGGAAATTTAATCAGAATACTAATACATTTATTATGTTAACACACCGGGGTATTAAAAAGCTCCAAGTGTCAGAAACATTATGATCTAGTTTGAAGCCTATTAATTCTGGTTGAAATGTTCACCAAATCCTCCCAACTTGGACAGTTTTCAAATGGAAATTTAGTCTATAAGGATGTTAATTAAATTAATAAATTTACCTATGAAATAATGAACTGCATTGAGGGACATTTTAAATAACTGATTTTTATAGTTTATAGTAATGTTAGTCATAAACTAATAGTTTTCTAAGCAATATTTTTATCATTATTGCAAAATCATTCTTCATTTTTATTTTCCAATTTGAAGCTATATCTAACAAGGCTGTAAAGTGCTTTAGATTTAAAGGAGCGGGTGGGGGGAAGTACTTTGACTCCACATGAGACCTCATATAACAATGACTGGCAACTTCATAAATCAATTACTATGTGTCTCTCCAGGGATTCTGTAGATATAACAGGAAGAACAGATTGAAGAATTACCGAAAGAGGATATGTGCGTGCCCACATGTGCTCTAAAGCACTTTTTGCCTTTTGAATCCAAAGTGGTGCACAGCCTATAAACAGTTATATTTGCTTATAAAATGGATGTGTGCTATTTTGCAGAAAAAGGACATGATATGAATTTGGTACTAAAGGAGATGGAAAGCAATGAAAATAATAATGAACAAGTTTGAAAAGGAAATCTACATAATATAGGATTGCATTAAATATTATGCTAAATAGTTTGCATTAATTGATACTCCCTTTAATAAGGTTTAGGTCTAGGTTATTCCTTAGCAAGACTGTGATCTGGTTACTATGGAAATTTGAAACATCACACTGGAGAACTGCTAAAATACAACAATTTAATTTATTTATTTATTATATGTAAATGTTTTGTTCTTTTTGAGAGAGCCACTTCCCATGAAAGATAAATATAACTTTGTCACCTAACTCATTGTATTTAAACTAGAAAAATGTTTCTAGTTTTTTCTAATTTGAAGTTTTTACGGTATTGTACTGAATGAAATATCAATTAAAAGTAAACTCTAATTTTTCTTGCTTCCCCCAAAAAGGAACACATTTACTAGGTAATTTCCATGACCAGGAAAAGATCTTTGATTTTCCATCAATGTGTTCAGGTAGTCCTTGACTTACAACAGTTCATTTAGTGACCATTCAAAGTTACAACAGCAATGAAAAAAGTGACTTTTGACTTTCTCACAGCTATGTTGCAGCATCCCCATGATCATGGGATAAAATTTCAGGTGCTTGGCAACTGGCTCATATTTATGACCATTGCTGTGTCCCAAGGTCACGTGATCCCCTTTTGCGACTTCCTGACAAGCAAAGTCAATGGGGAAGCCAGATTCATTTAACAACCAGGTTACTAACTTATCAACTGCAGTGATTCACTTAAAAACTGTGCCAAGAAAGGTCGTAAAATGGGGCAAAACTCACCTATCAAACATCTCACTTAACAACAGAAATTTTGGGCTCAATTGTGATTGTAAATTGAGGACTGCCTGTATATGTGCACATCTATGTAGTTTCCATATTAAATCAATTACACTGGGATTTAGCGCAATATTTGTTTCAATATGTCCCAAATTCAGTTCAGTAATCTAAATGGAAAAGTTATTATTACAAGTTTCCCATTAAGAATACCAAAGGAGGGGAAAAAAACCTTTTGAAAAATTGTATGAAGGAAATTAATTGAAAAGCTCTTGAATACATTAAATACCAAAGCCACTTATTCCCAATTTGTAGTCTAGAAAAACAGCGATTTTGAAGGGTACTGGAAGCAGTTATTGATGCATACATCAAAATAATCATTCCCACCCCCACTTTTTTTTTAATGGCAAATATCTCAGGGAATCATTGAATTGCCTAAGATGCCCTCTTTCTACCTAAAATGTTTCAATATTTCAGCTAGAAACAAAGTTGCCCAAGACCAGATGATCTCCTAAAATGTTGGCCATTTAGTCTTAATTATTAGGTTTTTGAATCTGGGATGGTGATGTTGCAGCATAAAAGGCATTAAGGAAAGGAAACAAGCATCCGGGTAAAAATATTAAGTTGTATATATCCCTTCCACTATCTTTTTCTTTCTTGGAATAAAATAAATACCTTTGTTATGTATTTACCTCAAAGCAGAAGTCTCGTCCAATTATACTGCTATGAAGTGGCATTACAAAGACGTTGTCAGCAGCCCCAAAATTGAAAGTCTCAATAGAACTTCCTGGAGTCAGCAAAGATTCATGGGAAAATGATTGCTTCAGCTTCGACAAGCCAGGGGACCTGTATAAAGACAGAGAAGGTGGAAATAAGGCGCCAAGAAAAAAGGAGGTGATTTAATAAAAGTACATTTTAAATGCATCTTTTAAGGTTTGCCTTATTCCAAATATTGGTTGGGACAATGGAATCCCTAACAAATGCCAATCAAGATTTAGCAAACTCAGAAACATAAAACAAATTTGCTTTTAGAATTTTGTATTCTGAATTATTGGTGAATGGTTCAAATGTTTTTCTATATGTTTCATAGAATCCAAAATCCTACTAGTAACTTGCGAGGGCTGTATATTTTTTATTTACTTCAAATGAAAATGTTACATTTATAGAACTGTACAGTTTCTCTTCCTTCCCCTCCCTATCCAGTAAATTCCTCTAAAAATAATGCCAAGGGTAAAAATGAAAAAAAAAAAAAAGGTTTGTGAGTGTGTTGTCTGTATCAATCTTGCTTGTTTCTCCAAGGAGCTTAGAGTAACAGACATATATTTTTTGTTTTTCATGTTAAAAACAATCCCTCAAGGCAGGATTGGCAGAAAGATAATGGGGTCAAAGTAATGCAGTAAGTCAGTGAAACATCTGAACGAGTTTCCAAGCACAATACTATCCTCTAAACTCACTATTAATATTCCCTTTTTGAAAAACACAAATGACAGATAAACAACGACAGATTTATTACTCTTATAATAAAATGTTTTACAATCTATGAGGGTGAGGTTTTTCTTTTTTCTTTTTTGAAAATAGCACAGGAAGATAGATAATCTTACTAATCGTATTCAGGCATTATATTAATTTGGCATGTTCTACTTGGATGATTCCTGTTCAGCCATCTTCCTACCTAAGGGATTTCAATGACACTGGTTTCCAGGAGACAACTTAAGAGAAAATTCTTTTTATAGCATTTGAGCTCTGAACTGCATCTAAGAGGCTATCCTTAAAAAAAACAACCTGAAAGTTGGGATACAAAGACAAAACAGAATCATTTCCTTCTCATGTTACATTAATAATTATATGACTTGGAAACATTTGGGAGAGTCAATGGCAAACCACTTCCCAAATATTGCCAAGGAAACTGCAAGGTCTTGTCCATGTAGTTGCCAGGAATCTATGCTGACTTGAAAGCACTACAATAGACATGAGTTTTGGGGCTGTTGGGAACCATATCCATGGCTTTCCTGACTTCAGGCTATGATCCCTTTTCTTAATATAGTAGTTCATTTTTAGCTTTGATTGTGCTTTACTATGATTAACTAAACTGAACGTGAGCCCTGTGATTGGTATTGCTTATGCCCTGTTATTGTTAGAATGCAATTCCTTTAACTGGTATTGGCCACAGTGAAGCATCAGCTGCTATTTCAGGAAGGTTAAGTCAAAAAGTTTCCATTATTTTAGAATTCATTAAAGCTAATCATAATAATAGGAATTTGTAGATTTATGCAGTTTGCTTGTCTTTGGAATGCTTATCCTGATTCTGGGATAATTAGCAGGAAGGGAATTAATGTTTGTATTTCAAGTCATCATAGAGGAAGGATTACAAGAGAATAAGCAGGCACATAACAGAGAATACCCATTGAAAATAATGTGCTAGCACTGTTTGTCTCATGTACTTTGGGCTCCCAACACCGAGTGTGCTAGGCAAACAACTGGCACTAGCACATTCCTTTCAATGTGTATTTCCCATTGTGTGCCTTCTTACTCTCTTGCAATCCGTTCCTCTTCAATTTCTCCACTCTATAAGGGGGAAGGAGAATGAATCAGCACAAGACAGATTGCCTAAAACGATTGCTTGTTTATACAATATCTCCGGTTTCTGAGAGAGAAAAATAGGCCAGGCACAGAACAAAATGTACCAACTGATGGAATGATGAGCATGGGATTGAGAGAAAGATGCTGTGAAGATTGTAAAAGCATGACTTGGTCACAGAGTTATTTTTTCAGCAATGTTACACAGTAACTTTGAATGATTCATTGCACAAGACAGTTGATAAGTGAGGTCTATCTATTTTGAGAATAGATAATACAAGTAGTCCTTGACTTACAACCACAATTGGGATCAGAATTTCTGTTGTGACTGTTGTTGAGCCCAATTTTGTTATCTTTTTTGTCATGGTTAAATGAATCAGTGCAGTTAAGTGAATCACATAGGTGTTTAGCAAAACCAGCTTCCCCCATTGACTTCGCTCATTGGAAAGCACCTGGGAAAGTCACCAATAGCAATCACATGATCCTGAAACGCTGCAACCATTGTAAATATATAGCGGTTGCCAAGGGCCCAAATTTTGAACATGTGACCAGAGGGATGCTGCGAAGGTTATAAATGTGAGGTGGAAGTAATTTTTTTCAGTGCCATTATAAGTGGTCATTATATGAATTGTTGTAAATTTAAGACTACCTGTACTGGATTAGATACACAATCCTGATCATAAAGGAAGTAAAGATTTGCACAATTCAAATAGAGCGTTTCTATGCATTGAAGCAGTTATCTGATTTTGGGGGAACATAATAAAAGGATGTGGATGATTTAATGAACTGATTCCTTAGGTCCAAAATACTTCTTCTATATCATGGGCGTAAGTGCTATTATCAAATAGATTCCTGTAAAGAAAATCTTATAAAATACTACATTTTGAATATATGAAAGAATGTTCAAAAGTCTCAAAGTTCCTAACTGTATATCCCAATTCTTAGCAAATGTTGAAAAATAAAGGGAAAGCTACTCTCCTCTGACTTCACAGTTAAGAGCCTTATATTACACCAATGAGGTAGGTTGGATTAACAGAGATGAACATTTGAGCAATGTTTGCACAGTGCCTGCAACTTTAGGCAAGCTCACTAGAAACTAGTTTAAAAAAAACTTGTAGATGAATTAAACAGGATATTTCCCACCAAATAATATTGTTGCTGCAATAGAAGAGGAGTGTATTAACTACTTTATTATTTAAAAATGGAGGCTCCAGATATTAGCTCTCCTTTTTGCATACTCTCCCTTTCTGGCTGTTAATAACCCAACAACACAAAAGCTTTTTGACACAATTTGATGTTCATTTTTTCAAACTTAAATGCACTGCATTTAACTTTATGAAAAATTTATTCATGCAATCTTCTGGCACCATATTTAAAACTAAGTAGTTATTTCTTTATTTTCCCTTTATTCTGGAGTTAAAATTGTTCTCAAATTAAATTTCTATAGTTTGGGTTAGAAGGAATTTGATAACCCCTTTTCTGACTAACCAATCTTAGGTTACGAAAAAGAAGGAAGGCAGATTGTGCATTATCAACCTATTTTCCCCTCTCTTTTATCCCAACCATTCCTTACCTCATTCCAATTTAAATCCTACATCGGCCTGGCCCCTGCATGAATCCAGTGAAGGAAATTACAGCTCATGAAAGCTTGTAATAAAATTGGTTTGTCAGAAAGGTGCTACCAGACTCAGACTAATGCAGTTCTTCTCTTACGATGTCTAAAGTTTGGATTGGTGACATAATTGCTACAGCTTTTAGTATCCAATAGCTCTTATGAAAATTACATCTTATTCTACTGAGGTTCTGTCCAGTTCAAATTGTAAATTTAAGTTTTCATTAAGTAGTATTTACAGAAAAGAGAAAGAGAGCAGGAAATATTTTGCAACCAGTCTCTTTTCTTTCCAGAGTTATCAATTTTGTTTTCTGGTACTACTACTATGCTTTTAAACGTCAAATAAGACCATTCCCTGGTTTAATTTTTCAAACTTTTAAAAGGCATATCTAGAGGGCCAGTAAAAAGGGGTACATTGTTATCCTGAATTTTTTTTAATGTTAAATCATTGTTCACCAATTTAGTTTAAGAAAAAGCCTGTAAGGCAACTGGAAGATATTGTTTTATTTTTTCCTCAGATCAATACTCTCAATTTAGAGCTCCTGAACAGACAAAATGTTTCAATTTATAGGCAAGCATAGAAGAGATAATAACAATAGAACATGTTTGAGAAGAAGTGACAAAAATGGTCCAATGCAGTGTGAAAAGCCTGTGCGAGTATTTTCTGCAAAATCTGTTTCATTCAAATTTCTGCTACTATCAGTACAAACCTACCCTTTTTGTCTTGCACTGTCACCAATATGAACAAGCAAGGCATATATTACATGTGTGTGTGGCAGAAGCCAATCTTACATTTTTAAGATTCTTAATTCTTTTTAAATTTTGCCATCTAAGCTACTGCTACAACCAGCTCTTTTTGAAAACCTCTGGAAGTCCAAAAAATAAAGAAGGCCAGAAAGAGACATATTTTCCAACATTCTCTTTACTCCAAGGGAACATCCAAAGAAAAGGTAAAAACATCACAAGCATAACTTTTTAGCACAACTTGCACTGCTAGATCCTTGCAGACAAATAACCAGCACACCTACATGAAACAATTGTTCAGCCACCTGACTGTGCATCCCCAAATCATAGCGGTGCCATGTGTCCTGATACCCACACACCTCCTTCTCTTTGGCTACATTGCGGAAGAGGAATTCCTCAGGGCAAAGGCTGCAATGCCCACATTCAGTGGCAGGTACGTGGTCAGTGCTTCTGCTTCAGAGCTCGACAGAGATACTTCCAAGAGGAGCCAGGGCAAACAATTTGTGGGAGCAAAGCCACGCTCCTCACCCAAGCTCTGTTCCCCTATCACTCACCCTCTGCCTCCTGTCCCTCAGGTGACAAAAACAAGGTTGCCGGTACGTGCCCAGCTCACTCAGCCCTGGGTCTGTTGCCATGGTGCTGCATCCATAAGGAGATTAGGGGAGGAAGACAGCAGGGAGAAGCAGCAGTGGCAGAGCTCAGGGAGCACTCTTGGCAAACACCGCAAAGGTGTGACCTTTCAAAGGAGGAGGAGGAGTCCCTTCGTTTCCTTCAAGATACAGACACAAGATCTCTGAGCAAGAGAAACGGAGCAGGGGAAGAGTACAACAAAAAGCTTTATGCATCTTTCCCACTTAGAGGCCTTTTAGTGCCAAGCAGGCAGTATCCCCTGCTGATCTCTGTTTAGCTTCCT